TATATGTCCACTTCATAATAAATGAATAAAATAAATAAATACTTAAAATAAATAAAACTTATTTAAGCCTCGGTTTCTTCATCTGTGAAGTGGCAATGATAATAACCTTTCTTAAAGGGGCGATATGTGGAGAATTGGGTAATAGATATAAATCATATCTCTTATAAGTCATATCTCTTATAATCTGTACAAAAATTAGTTATTATTCTTGTTCCTGCATTTCTCACATGGTATTATTTATCTGTATTATTTGTATTTATTTGTATTGTTTGTATTTACTGTTGGTATTTATAAGTACTATTATATGGGGAAGTACCATTCTAGCCAGCATTCTCCCTAAATTGTGCCAATGCCTGTAGAACTGATTTTTCTCTCCTAAGAACAATGAATGGGCAAGATATCAGGAGGGTGTCTGACCTGAGAGTAAGTTTCCATCCAAAAAGCCCTGAAGTTGCAAAGCAGGTTAACTTGCTGGTAGACTTGCCAGATTGCACACAGCTGAAAGTTTGGTGCAATAGAGTAAAATTGGGCTCCAGTTCCTTCTATAAATCAAATTAGTTGTGTGACCTTAGGCAGATCACTTAAACTCTCTGGGCCTGAAAAATGGAGGTCATAAGAACACCTACCTCTTAAAATTATGGTGGGATTAAATAAGACTATATGTTAAATGCCCTGGCCTTAAAGAAATTCTTAAGCTTCTGAGACACATACTCAGATCTTTTTATTGAGCACTTATTAATTTTATGACTAGGTTGAGTGCAGGCTCTTTCTCATCTCTGAAGTACATTGACTTGCTCTGTTTTCTTAGAGAATAAATGTTGTTTCCCTCAAGGCCCTATGTCTTCAAAATTTGAACCAGGAATACTTGCCAACAGAATAGAATCTCACGAGAGATCCTGTTCATTACAGGCAACTAAAGTTGATAATTATATATTTTTTCACATGTGTAGATTTAGATTCACATGAAACCAAAAGTATGTACCTGCTATGTTTACTGAATAGGCTCTTCTACCACATGATTGCTCAAACCTATAATAATCCCATGAATTAAGTACTAATATCCCCATTTTATTGATGAGGAAATAGATGGTCACATAAATTAAGTAACTTGACCAAGGTGACACAGTTGGGAATAAGAAAGGATACAGCCTAGTGTAATGTAAGGAAGATGGGCTTTGGAGTCAGATCTAAATTAGAATCCCAGCAGTGCCATACACTAGATCTTGAACTTGAAACAGTGACCTAATCTGTTCAATCTCAGTTTCCTCAATGAGATTAGAATATCTAACTCACCTAAGTATTATGAGGTTGAACTGAGATAGTATTTGTAAAGCAGAGTGCCTGGCACATGGTAGGTGCTCTCTGTAAACCCTTAGGTACTTGATAAGTGTATTGGGAACCCACAGCCCATGGAGCACACTTTATAGTGCTATTTTATTTTATTTTATTTTATGTAGTTTATTGTCAAGATGGTTTCCAGATAACACTCAGTGCTCATCCCAACAAGTGCCCTCCTCCATGCCCATCACCCATTTTCCCCTCTCCCCTACCCCCCATCAACCCTCAGTTTGTTCTCAGTATTTAAGAGTCTCTTGTGGCTTGCCTCCCTCCCTCTCCTTAACCGTTTTTTCCCCTTCCCCTCCCCTATGGTCCTCTGTTAAGTTTCTCCTGTTCCACATATGAGTGAAAACTATGGTATCTTTCGCTGCCTGACTTATTTCACTTAGCATAATACCCTCAAGTTCCATCCACGTTGCTACAAATGGCCAGATTTCATTCTTTCTCATTGCCATGTAGTATTCCATTGAATAAATAAACCACATCTTCTTGATCCATTCGTCAGTTGATGGGCATTTAGTGTCTTTCCATGATTTGGCTATTGTTGAAAGTGCTGTTATGAACATTGGGGTACATGCGTCCCTATGCATCAGCACTCCTGTATCCCTTGGGTAAATTCCTAGCAGTGCTATTGCTGGGTCATAGGGGAATTCTATTGTTCAGTTTCTGAGGACCCTCCACATTGTATTCCAGAGCGGCTGCACCAGTTTACATTCCCACCAACAGTGTAGGAGGGTGCCCATTTCTCCACATCTATAGTCTACTGATTTGTTCATTTTGGCCATATTAGTGCTATTTTAGAGGTAACTTCAATCATCATCAAGTTTCTTTAGAACATTTGATGGGATGTTCAAATGAGGCAGTAAGATACAGTGAAAGGATCCCAGGCATGGGAGTCTAGAGATCTGGGATTTGATGCTGGCTCTTATTTAGTGTGTGTCTGACATTGTGCAAGGAAATGGAGTCTCAGTTTCCTTATTTATAAAATGGAGACAATATTCTTGTCCTCACAAGGTTGCTGGGCTAACAAATACAGATGGATGCGAACACTCTTTCAGTTTTAGAAATGCTGTGTAAATGTGAGGGCTTTCAATTTGTGTTTACTATTTTCAGAGGGAGCGTAAACAGGACTCAAGATAACCTGAGACCTGCCTCCTAGAGAGCAACTGTTGGAGAACCCGACCCTTAAGTGAGGCCTGATTAACTATTTGCCACTGCTGTTGCTGTGGCTGCTGCTTATGCTCAAATATCAATCATTGTGCCTGCTCGGAGAGGCAGCACTGTGCAGAATATCCCCCTCTCCCCATATACACCCTGCTCCACACAACTGTTGGGACCAGGACTGGGAATCTGACCCAAAGGCAAGCAACTCATGAGCTTGCCAATGACCTACAAATGTGGTCTGTCTCCTAAAAAATGAGTTGTACAAATAAATATTTCTCTTTCAGGAATTTGAATTGGGAAACATGAGGTGATTGAGGCAATTAGTAGCAATAAAAACAATGACTAAAAGGTTGCAAAGAGAGAGGCCATGAGGTTGAGTAGGGGTACATGTGAGAGGAGATGGAGTCTAGGTGTGACAAACCAACGTGATGAGGAGGCAGAAATTATGAGTAAATGGAAGCTATAAAGTAGAAAATGATAATATATGTTTATTCAACAAATGTTTTTAGGATTCCTTCTATGAACAAGTCACTGTGTTAGGCTCTGAATACACAAAAGTGACTAAGACACAGCTTCTGTCTTTATAGCACTTAGTGGGGAAGAGAGACAAAACAAGTAAACAAATAATTACAGATTGATTCAAAGCTAAAAAGAAAACAAATATGGAGCTGAGTTAGAACATACCAGGAAGGGAGCCACTTAAGAAACAGCATGGTAAGGGAAGTTCAGAACAGATCATTAAAGTGAGACCTGAAGAATGAGAAGGAGCCAAGGAGAAGAGTATTTGAGGTGGAGGATAAATAATGCCAACTGGCAGGAAATGGCTTGTCATGTTTAAGGAAGCTGACAAACAGAAAACAAAACAAGCCATGCGGCTGAAGGGAAGTGAAGGAAAGGGAACAGCATGAGATAAATTTGGAGAGGTAAGGGGCACCTGGGTGGCTCAGTTGGTTAAGCTTCCGCCTTCAGCTCAGGTCATGATCTCATGGTTAGTGGGTTCGAGCTCCGCATTGGGCTCTGTGCTGACAGCTAGCTCAGAACCTGGAGCCTGTCTTTGGATTCTGTGTCTCCCTCTCTCTCTGACCCTCCCCTGCTCATGCTGTCTCTCTCTCTCTCTCAAAAATAAATAAAACATTAAAAAAACATTTGAAGGAACAAGCAGGAGGCATGTCACAGGACCCAGCAGGCCTAAGTATGGAGTTTGGAATTTAGTTCCAGTGAGCCCCAGTGAGAAGCAATGAAAGTATTTGAGTTTGGGTAATATTATCCAGTAGCATGTATAGATAAACTTGAAGGCTAAAGAGTCACTACAGGTTCAAACCTAAGCTCTACCACTTACCAGCTGTGTGACCTTGCACAAATTATTTAATCTCTTTGTGCCCCAATTTCCCTTTCTATAAAACTGAGGTATGTTTCATCTCATAGATTCATTGTGAAGATTACATATATATAAAGTGCTTACAGCAGCTCCTGGCACATGATAAACATCCAATAAATGTAAGCTTGTATTATTATTTTGTTTTCCAAGATATCATGGTAGTTACTGTATAGAGAATGAATGTGTGAAGGATAAAACGGAAACCAATTGGGGCACCTGGGTGGCTCAGTTGGTTAAGCATCTGACTTTGGCTCAGGTCATGATCTGTGGTTCATGGGTTTGAGCCCCACGTTGGACCCTGTGCTGACAGCTAGCTCAGAGCCTGGAGCCTATCTTCAGATTCTGTGTCTCCCTGTCTCTCTGACCCTCCCCTGCTTGCGCTGTCTCTCTCTGTCTCTCAAAATAATAACAACAACAATAATAATAATAAACGGAAGCCAGTTATGAGGCTGATGAGTCACCTAAGTAAGAGATGATGAGTGAAGTGGTAGTAGTGGTTTCTAGCTAGAGCAACTAGGTGGAGGGAGGTGACATTTACTGAGAGAGAGGAGCTTGGAGGAAGCAGATTTGGCAGAGAAATTAGGAGTTCTATTTTAGACATGTTAAACTTCAGATGTCAGTGAGATCCAAGAAGATGTCAGTTAGGTAGCTGTTTGTAAGTTTGGAGCCCAAAAGAGAGGTATGGGATGAAGATATGAATTTAGAAGCCATTAACATAATCAGCATTCAAAGATTCTTTTCCTGGTATCATCATCCAAAGATATAGAAGTAGTTGAGATTATCTAGGAGGAGAGGATACAGAGAGAAGTGAACAGAGCCAAGAAGAGTGCTGAGGAGCCACACATTTTAGAGTGGTTGAACAAACAAGGAGAATGAGGAGAGGCCTGTGAAGAGAAAGTAGAACCAGAAGAAGGCGGAATCAAATATCAAGAGAACAGAGTGTGTCAAGAAAATGAGAGCGGTCAGTTGAGTGTGGAAAGGTCAAATAATATAATGATTAAAAAAAATAGTGAAGTATGTATGTGTGTGTGTTTGTGTGTGTGTGTGTGTGTGTGTGTGTGTGGAGGTGTGTGTGGAGGTGCTAAGTAAACATCAAACAGGCTAAAAATGAATTGAAGGGGTTCTTACTTTGACAGCACATTTGCTAAAACTAAAACTATACAGACAAAATTGGCATGACTCCTCCATATTAGATGACACACAAATTGTGAAGCATTTCATATGTTTTCAGATGGATTTGACAATGTTAACTTTTACATATTCAAACAGAAATTTGAATCCACAAGAATGAAAGGGATTCTAAAACTGAATATAAATAGAAAACAAATAAGCCTAACTATATATAAATAAGTAATATAAACATTCTGAAGCAAAATAAAACTTAATCCAAATAACTTTTGAACACAGCACTTTGAATATATACCTTTAGTCTAAAAACAAAACAAAACACAAACAAATTTTGAATCCAATTTAATAGATTTTTTTTAAGTGACATGGATGTAGCCATTCTGAAACTATTTTATGTATATCAAAACACTGAGCAAATGAAAAAAGACAATGATGCCATTGGGAGTCAGAGTTCCCACTGTGGGAAAAGGGAGATGCAAATAAGGAAAAGGAGAAAGAACCTTGTGGTGCTGAATTGGAATTAAGTGTACTAGTAAAGAATTCATGATTAAAAATAATTAAATTATATTAAGCTGCCATTTTTCCTTCATCGCTCTGTTTACCTAACGGGCCTAAATGCAATTACACCCCAGTAACAATGAGCATATCTGGTGCCCAGATCTTGGTTTCTAAATACCATTGCTTACTAAAAGGGTAGCTCTTGGAGAGATGGATGATTTCCAAGACTACACAGGAAAAGTAAAAGATGAACTTGGGATGCTGTATTATACCAGAAAGCAAGAAATTGCTTAAAAAAAAAAAAAAGTTGGGCATCTGTCAAAAGGATACAGGAGCCAGTGTGAAGGGGCTCTCACTGGCCAAATCTGGGACAAGTTGAACGTTAAAATGAATAATGGCAGTGACAGATTATAACCTATTAAATACAGTAAGAATCTATAAATCTATACTAATGATAATAAATATATAAATAAGTAAGAGAAAAGGGAAAGATCTTGCTTACAGTATAATGTCAACTAAAAATGTAGGTGGAATAATGGAATTATAAAATCACCACTTGGCCACCTTTAGAATTATTAATTCAGACATTGCTTAGGAGTTTTACTTTACACATGTTAAACTTAAGATGTCAGTGAAATATCCAAGTAGATATCAATTAGGCAGTTGGTTGTAAGTTTGGAGTTCAGAAGGGAGTTCTGGGATGAAGATATGAATTTAGAAGTCATTAGCATAACCAGCGTTCAAAAACATAGAAGTAGTAGAGACTATCAATTGGCAATGAATGTTGGAAACTTTGAGCATAAGTTTGAAGAGGAACAAGATCTTGATATAGTTTCAAAGTACCTTTCCAAAGATTACTCATTATTTATATGGGAAAAAATGCTAACTTTATAGTGAAAAAACCTCACAGATGCCATCTTAACCAAATGGTTAAAGTGAACAACAATGGGACCAGGTGACACAATGTTTTTCCTCACTTTATGCATTGAGGACATAACATCCCATGGGTAGTATTCCTGCTCCCTCCAAAAAAAAAGGAGAAAAAGAAATAGAATTATAGGGAAACATGAAACAAAACCAAATAGGAGGAAATTCTACAAAACATTGGTCTGTACTTTCCAAAAATGTCAATATCATGAATAACAATCAAAGGCTGGGGAACTGTTCTAGATTAGAGGAGACTAAAGAGTCATGAAAGTTAAATATAATGTATGATTAGGGATCAGGCACTGCATCAGAGGGAAAGCTGCTAGACAGGACAGTATCAGGACATTAAGTGAACTTTGAATATGTACTAAATATAAGGATTTCTATCAATGTTAAATTTCCCGAATTTGATCATCACACATGGGAGAGGGCGGGGTAGGAGGATGCAGGTATATAAGAGAATGTCCTGGGGCACTTTGGTGGCTAGTCAGTTAAGCATCCAACTTCGGCTCAGGTCATGATCTCATGGTTTGAGGGTTTGAGCCCCGCATAGGGCTCTGTGCTGACAGCTCAGAGCCTGTAGCCTGCTTCAATTCTGTGTCTCCCTCTCTCTCTGCCTCTCTTCTGCTCATACTCTATCTTTCTTTATATCAAAAATAAATAACAAAAACAAAAAAAATTTAAATAAAACTTTAAAAAATTAAAAAAGAGAGAATGTCCTTGTTCTTAGCAAATATACACTCAAATATTTAGGATATTAGGGGTAAATACTACAATTCAAATGGTTCAGGAAACATTTGTATATATGCATGCATTCATACACATATGCATACACACAGATAAAGAGATTGTGGCAAAATATTAAGTTCTGGTGCATTGGGGTGAAGAGTGTATAGGAATTCTTTGTAATATTCGTGCACCTCTTCTGAAAGTTTGCAATTATTCTGAAGTAAAAAGCTTAAAAATAAATTGGAGATGAGGAACTAGAAAGAGTATACTGATAACTCTTTTGAGAAATTTGGCTGTGAAGGGAAGCAGAGAAATAGGACTGGAGAGGGAGTCAGGGTTATAAAATAGCTCTTTAAAGATAGGAGAAACTAGAACAGATTTGTGTGCTGATGAAAACAATGATGAGCTTCAGCCCATCCTTTAAAAGAGATTCGATCAAAGCCACCCGCCTTAGGCTCCTCTGAAAACATTTCATTCCTTAAACTACAACCAGGAAGATATTTGGGTCACCACTTGAGGGCAGTACAAGTGGTGGTTTTACTGTTTCAGCTGCTGGAACAAAAACAAAGCCCTTTATGTGATTTTCTCTCAAATATGCTGTGTGAAATAAACCTCCTAACATATCACTTTTTCCAAACGTTTTAAACAAGAAAATCCCAACAGAATTCATAACAAGGGTGAAGAGAAAAGGGGGTGAGAACAAGGGTCTCATGCTTAGAAAAATGCCTGGCACATGTTATGAATTTAATACAGAGTAGAAGGTAACAGAAAAAATAGAACATGTTAGTTGGAAGCAACCCTAGAAAAGGATGAATCCAGATCCCTCATTTTATAGACAGGGCCTTGGGTTCAGAGGAAAGAAGGGACTTGACCAAACCACAATAATGTGGTAGAAAAGGTAATGGTTTCAACACTTACCTGGTTAGTCTGTAAAGACAGAGGTTCTGATACTTTCAAATGACATTATAAATATGGCTTGCAAAGGGACTGACCCCATCGTTGGTACTGATACTGAGTTCCTGAAAAAATTGTGACCTCTGTCGTGAGACTGTGCCCCTTGTGTCTTCCTCTACCCTGGGAGGATTTGACTCTTCACCTTCAACTCCTGTCCACTTTGACTAGTCCTAATGCTCTGGACAGCATAGTTCTGATCCCAACCAACCTATTTCTACCCCTTTCTGGCAGGGCCCAAAGGGGTCACATATTAGACTTTCCTACCAACACTGGGGGGTAAAGATGGAAGTTGGAAGATGAAGTTGGAAAAAAAGGGAATGGGCGTATGGCAGTACATTGTTTGCAGAAAAATAACAGTATCAATGCAGTAGACTGGAGATGATCTCACAAGGACAATCAGAAAATCCTAGTGAAATACAAAACTCTAAATATGATATATATATAAGTACGTAATGGAGAAGAAGCACCTTTAGACTGATTAAAATACAGAAACCAATATGACTTTTTTAAAAATGTTTTTATTTATTTCTGACAGAGAGAGAGGAAGCATGAGCAGAGGAGGGTCAGAGAGAGAGGGGGACACAGAACGTGAAGCAGACTCCAGGCTCTGAGCTGGCTGTCAGCACAGAGCCCGACGCGGGGCTCGAACCCACAAACCGTGAGATCATGACCTGAGCCGAAGTTGGACGCTCAACCGACTGAGCCACCCAGGTGCCGCCAATATGACTTCTTATCATGCTAAGAAGTGGGCTCACTTATGCAGAAGGACTCCTAACCTCACTACTACATACAGAAAAATGCTTGCACATTAGCCTGATGTTTCAAAGATCTCCTAACCTGGCCCCAGTCCATTCTTTAGTCTCGTGTTCTGCCATAGTTCCCATCCCATGCTCCTACCACTGCTTTCTGAATACTCACTGCAATGATTTAAATGCTGCGATCTATCAGGCTATGCTCTGCACTTGCTCCATTTTGAGGTTCACCTCAAATGCCTCCTTCTTTGGATGCTTTCCTTGATCTGACCCTCAAATTTACCTGAAGGTTCCTTTTGGCCCCTATAGGCATTGCATGTACTTATCTTGAGCATTTATTTCTGCCTTGTCTTCTGTACTACATAATGAGCACTTTGAAGACATAGACTGGGTCTTAATACTAATAATATTTCTTAGGGATTAGTGATCTACTATTAATTTTTCTTTTTAAACATTTTTTTTTGAGAGAGTGAGAGGAAGAGAGAGCGAGCATGCAAGTTGGGGAGGGGCAGAGCGGGAGGGTGGGAAAAAATCCTAAGCAGGCTCTGCTCTCAGAGCAGAGCCCCACACAGGGCTCGATCTCACAACTGTGAGATCATGACCTGAGCTAAAATCAAGAGTCTGATGCTTAACCCACTGGGCTACCCAGAGGCCCCTATTAATATTCTTTCTTATCCTTCTACCACTCCTGCATTTCTAGCTCATTCCTTCCAACATCCCAGCTCTAATAGTTCTCTGATAGTCCCCAGGCCAGTCATCCTAACATCTTTTGACCATTCCTTACCCATCTTATGTCCTCAGTTCTTTTCTTACCCGCTTAAATTCCCGTGTCCAATGTTATAATTATTTCTTTGATATGTCGTCTTCTCTTTTCCTCTTCTTGCTTTGTTATTCTGCCTCAAAAAACCCCTACCCTGGACAATCTAACTCTACCTTTTGGAAAGTTGTTGAAGAAAACCCCACAATGATGTCAATTGGACTCTACAAATTCATTACCACTAACCTCAAGTGATCCTTTACTGATATCTGGTAATCATTTTATTTTAAATGTTTATCTACTTTCCCTAAATGACTATTTCGCCCTTTTTTCCCTTCAAACTTCCAGTACCTTCTTCTTTCTGTTCCCTCTTAGCAGATAACCCGCCCACCTTCATCCATGCCTGTATACTCCTGTCCTCTCAATGGTACTCTGAAAGCAAATCCTTTCCCTTATGCTCCAGCAATTCTCTCTTGTCTATC